TCATCTGAGGATGTCCAGTCAATACCTGTCTGTTCTCTTAGCAGAGCTCAAGCAGTACCTCCTACATCACACCTATGAGCAGAGGGACACAGCCAAGCAGCCCTACTGCTGCCACATCTCAGTGCCCTGCATTCTGCGCCTGGCGCCAGAACGTGTGAGCAAGACGTGCCTGCTTCTGCTCATCTTTGGCTCTGTGGAGGTACACTCGTCTTCCTGAAAGGCCAGTGTGGAACTAAAAAAACTCTCTGAAGGGTTCGTGATGAGGGACGGGGCTGGGATGGTGACAGCAGGAGGGCGGCTGGAGGTAGCAGCCTCGTGATGCTCTCTGCTGCTCCCGGCCTCCAGGGTCTTCCTCCTGTGATGGGGATGCAGCATCCATCCTGCCCCAGGACGAGGGTGCTGGGTGCCACTTGCTGCTCTGTGCTGGTAGAGGCAGGATGCTGCGTGCCTCATCGAAGCCATAAAACCCTGCAGCTCCAGGCTGCACTGCTCAGCCCCAAACCCTCCTGCAACAGCCATGCTGTCAGTGTGCGGTCGTGCTCTCAGCACACCCACCAGGGGTTGGGGTTCCTGCGCACACAGCAGGCCTGGTAGAACCTTCTGTGTGTGGTTTGAGTGAGCGAGGTGCAGAGCTGTGCTGCCTGGGGAGCTGCTCCGTGCTGCTGGGAGGGACTGGTGCACCACAGAGCCTTTGTAGGCACCAGGCTGCCCGCACGTGGGAAACAATGGAAAATGGCTGAGCTGCAGTATTTAGGTACGTTACAAAGCTTCTCTTGCAGGGGAGTTGGAGTAGATGACCTTTAAAGGTCCCTTCCAGCTCAAACTATTCTGTGATTCTACAGTTCTATGCCCTCCCATCTTATCACTGCTGCGCTGGGCCTTGCTGGGTACTGCAAGTGAGCTGCAGGCAGGATGAGTGCCCTGAGCCCTGCATCGAGCCCTGCATCGAGCCCTGCATCGAGCCCTGCATCGAGCCCTGCTGCTCTCGTGCTCACCCTCACCCAGGCACAGCAGCAGAGCAGGCAGCCCATCTCCCACCATTTCCTGGTGCATGTCTCAGTGGCATCCTGCTCCTGTGGTCTCGAGGGAGGGTCACATACCCTGTGATCCCAGGGGCTCACAGCCATAGGAAAAACCAGTGATGAGCTCAAAAGCTAGAAGCAGGAAAGTGCTCCTGCTAAGGTAACACGGGAGGTGCAAGGAACTCTTGCTGTGAGAGTGGAGGTCTCCTCACCAATACATCACTGAGCAGCGCTGGATGCTCTGTTTTTCCTGCTGCTTAGTTACCGAGGATGGAGGGCAGCTTCCTCAAGAAGGCTGGTGCCTGCAGCCGCTCTCCTGCTGATGGTTTCAGCAAATCCTCAGGCTCGAGGTGGGCTGCCACCTTTCGGCAGAATGGAAAAGAATTCCACTGAAGCAACGAAGCATCTTCAGCATCATACCCAGTGACAGAACCTGCAGATGTGCAGGTGATTCACCCACCTAAATTTACACGTGGCTTTAAGGTGCTGCCTTATTTTAATTTTACTGTTTGGATTTCATGTTATCCAAAACTATTATACCTATAGAATGAGTTTCCTACCAGCCCTGCACTATGGGAGGACTTTCTCAACAACCAGAGTGATGTCCTGCAGGCACCTGACCATGGCCCAGGACACTCTTCAGCACATACGCATGCACAGCTCATGGAAAAGCAGATCCTCTCCCTGTGAGCAGTCCCTGCTCCTCTTGTCTAGGGGATCTGCTCTCAGGACATCAGCACAAGCACCGAGCACCAGTAGCAAGGTCAGCGAGGCCAGGGTCAGGCTGAGCCCTGACAGGGAGGCAGAGCTCCGGGTGCTGTGCCCTGGGGGCAGCAGCCACAGGCTTTGGACACAAAGTGCCTGCCCAAAGATGCAGACCCCAAACCTTTAGGGTTTGCAAGCAAGCAAGCTCTCCAGAAAGAAACTTCTCTGCAACGTCAGACATTCTCTGTGCTGTGATCTCCCCAGCCCGCCCCAAATGATGCGTCTGCCCTCAGGTAAGCCTTCCACTCCATGGTCGAACCACAGGTGCTGTAACAGTGGTGACAGCAGCCAGCCCCTGCCCTGGCTGTCCCACACCTCCTGGGCTCGTGCTCTGAAGTGCTTACATAAGAGCAGGATTAAGCCTCACACAGCAGCCGGGTGGTACCCGACCCACAGCACAGCACGCCGGGCACAGCCACACCGCTGAGCCAGTCACCTCGACCTGCCCTGGTGCCTGAGGTTCACACATTGGGTTTGGGCATCCCCATGGGCAAAAAGAGCCTGAGCAGGCACTGGGTGCTGAGCCTTCGGCTTCGCTGTCTGCGCCTGAGCTCTGCAGGGACCCCTGAGGAGGGACACATGGGTGCAGCTCAGCTTTCAAGTTCTGATCAGGCTTCAAGCCAGCTGCAGGAGCCTTTCTCGCTCTTTGATGCCCTGGGCTCAAAAGCAGCATGATGAAATTACGGATCCTTATCTCATCCTGTGTATGCTATGTAAATAGCATGTTCTATTTACGCTACATTTCTTTGGCTGTTTTTGAAGAGGAATGAATTCATCTAAACATCTCTAACATGGGGGCAGAGCCACGCTGCACAAGATGCACTGATTCCATGTACACCCAGCAAACGAGGGAACAGGATTGGTGATGTGGAACAGGTCCCCATCGGTGCCTCAGTGCGTAGGAATGCTCTCTAACCTCCCCATCGCTGGCTGGGAGAAGAGAGCTGGGACATCCCGAACAGCAAAACCGGCACCACAGCAAATGGCTGCCGCAGAGAGGGCTGCAGCATCTTGACCCCACACCGGGCAGCCAAGTGAATGCCTCTGTCCCCACGTACCCCAATCCTTACCTCGGCGCTGTGACACCTTCTCCAGGTCCCCGTGCAGGGAGGTCATCCTACTGCAGGTGGGAGTATCCCCGAGGCCCCTCCATGGCCCCAGAGCTTCGCACTCTCCTTGCCCAGATGTTGGAGCACGAGGTGCAGGATGGAAGCTGTGCTCCTGCCCCTCTGGGAGCAGCGCCTGGGGAGGTGGGCACCCCGCACGGCACCGTGCCAGCCCCGCTGCTCTCGTCGTTCTCAGCTCTCTCCTCTCCCCTTCCTGCCGTGGGTCTTGCTTTATCTTCCTTCCTGTGGCTGCTGTGCATGCAAATCAAGTGCAGGCCTAGAAAGAAACCCACAGCCACAGCTGCCACAGCTCGGCCGAGCTGTGTCCAAATGAAAACAAACCCCCCAAATGCAACACCACAGGTCGGCCGGTGATGGCAGAGCCCAGGAGCTGCTGCTGCTCAAAGGCCCTTGCAGCCCTGGGGCATCCCAGTGCCGTGTGCCCTCATGGCCATGTGGACCAATGGTTGTCCAGTGATTGACTGTGAGCCGGCAGGTTGCCCAGGTGGCCAGGAAGGCCAATGGAACCCTGGAGGATATTGCAGAGAGGCCAGCAGGTGAGGGACGTGCTCTCTGCTCTCCCTGGGGAGTTACACTGCACCTTGGGCTGGGCTTCCCAGTTCCAGGCAGACAGGGAACTGGTGGAGAGAGCCCAATGAAGGGTGCAGAGATGGGGGGCCCGGAGCACATCCTGATGGGGACAGGCTGGGAGCCCTGGGGCTGTTCAGCTGGGGAAGAGAAGGCTGAGGGGGGATCTGATCAGTGCTGATCAATACCTAAAGGCAGGTCAGGAGGATGGGGCTGGGCTCATTCCAGTGCTGCCCAGTGTCTGGGCAAGGGGCACAAACTGCAGCGCAGGAAATTCCATATGGACAGGAGGAAGGACTTCTTTGAGGGTCCCAGAGCCTGGCACCAGCTGCCCAGAGAGGTTGTGGAGTTTTCTTCTCTGGAAGGGAATATTCAAAATGTTGTATTGAAAGGAGATGTTCAAAACCCAACCTGGACATTTTCCTGTGCAACTTGCTGAAGGGAACCTGCTTTGGCGGGCAGCTCCAGAGGTCCCTTCAGTTGTGATTCCATAGTGTAGTGAGGTTTATCTACTCTATTTTGTGGTGTCTATTTGAAATACTGTGGGATGTGCTCTATTCTGAGCAGCCAGGACACGCTCCAGGCCTGGTCACTGCTCCCTGGCAGCTCTCACACCTTGTTCCATGCCAGCCCCAAGGAGCTGCACATCCCACAGCCTGCCCCAAGTCCCACCAGCAGCTCTGGTAGTGCAGTGTGTGCCCACCAGTGTCAGACCGTTGCAGCCCTCCTGCTGGACCCCAGATTTTAGGACAGAATCAGAGAACCAGAGAATATCCCAGGTTGGGAGGAACCCACAGGAACCATGGGGTCCAATCGCTGGCTCTGCACACCCAAAGCTGAAAGCACTGAGGGTGAAGGCACACCTAGCACATATAGGAGCGAGGACAGCAAGTCAGGGCTCAAGCAGGGCCAACTCCTATGTACACACAGCGTTCAGCCATGCAGAAAGCAACTCTTTCCATTATTCTTTTCCAACTTTCTATACCAGACTTCAGCACTTGCCAAAATAAATAAAGGACGAAATCACTTCTGCCAAGATTTGCTTAAACTTTAAGGAAACGTATTGCGAGCTGAACCAAAATCATTCACTTGGTCTAATGTCTGAGAAAGCTTAGAGAACGTCTTCGGAGCTGAAGGTACAGCCAGGAGGGGACGAGCAGAGCCGAGTGGAGCCGAAGGCGGCGCAGCCGAGGCGAACAGAGCCGAACGGAGCCCAGCCGAGCCGAGCCGAACGGAGCCGAAAGGAGCCGAACGGAGCCCAGCCGAGCCGAGCCGAACGGAGCCGAAAGGAGCCGAACGGAGCCGAACGCAGCCCAGCCGAGCCGAGCCGAGCCGAACGGAGCCGAATGTATCCGGGCGGAGCCGAACGAAAGCATCAGGGCGTGAGCCAGGCGGAGCCGATCGCATCGAGCCGATCGGTGTTCGAGGTGCGCGTCCCGCCGAGCCTCGCTGTCCGTGCCCGGAGCAGCGCCGCCGAGGAAGGCTCAGTCTTACACGGGCTGCTCTTCTCGCCCCGCAGCTCGCCATGGCCGCCAAGAAGCTGATCGTGGTGTTCGGAGCCACCGGTGAGTGCGGGGCCGGGGCTGCGGTTCGGCTCCTCGCTGCGCGGCTCCTCACTGCGCGGCTCTCCCCGCAGGGGCGCAGGGCGGCTCGGTGGCGCGGGCGCTGCTGGAGGACGGCGCGTTCGTGGTGCGCGCGGTGACCCGCAGCCCCGGCAGGAAGGAGGCGGTGGAGCTGCGGCGACGGGGCGCACAGCTGGTGCGGGCGGACCAGGACGATGAGCGGACTCTGGAGGAAGCCCTGGAGGGCGCGTACGGAGCCTTCGTGGTGACCAACTTCTGGGAGCACTGCAGCAAGGAGAAGGAAATCGCGCAGGTACCGGCGTGCTTTAACACGGGCTGGGAGAGCGGTGCAGCCTTGCCCTGGTGTGGGCTTCCGGGCTGGGAAAGAGATGAGGGCTCATGAAGGAATCGGGTCCCGGTCTGTGCAAGGCTGGGCTCTCCTCTGTTTCCTCGTAGCTGTGGCTCCAAGATCTGGTGCCATCAGGGAGCAGCTGGATGCCACAAGATTTGGTACATAGTTGTGCCCAGGGGTTGGCAGGCTGCCTCCAGAGCCTCCCTGTGCTGAGCCGCAGCTGTCTGTGCTCTGCTGCACTTGCAGCGCTGGGGCCAAAACGTGCTGTAGAATCAGAAATCCCAAAGCCATTCCCAATAGGAGGAATTCACCCCAGGGCAGGCTTATGGTTTTGGAAGATAAGATTTGCTAGGGCAGGTTCTCAGGGCTGGTGTTTGTGTGCTTGCTGGAGGAGCTCAGAGGTTCCTGCTCCTCGTGGTGCAGGGTGATGTTGGCACAGGATTCAGCTCCACCTGGCCAGGCTGCTGGCTGTGCTCAGGCCTGTGTCCACCTGCCAGCTCAGGATAGCAGGTGCTGAGGAGCTTGCACAGCTGGTGTATTGGGCACTGCCCTCCTGCCCGGTGCAACGGAGAGCAAAGAGGTGTGTGGGGATGAGAGCCTGTGTGTGCGCCAAGGGAGCCGTGCCGCTCCTCATGGCTCTGTGGCTTCACGCAGGGGAAGCGTCTTGCTGACCTGTCGAAGCGCCTGGGTTTGCAGCACATGGTGTACAGCGGCCTGGAGAACGTGAAGCAGCTGACCAAGGGCCACCTGGAGGTGCTCCACTTCGATGGCAAAGGAGTGGTGGAGGAATATTTCCGTGCAGTCAATGTGCCCACCACGACCGTCCGACTGCCGTTCTACTTTGAGAATTTCCTCTCCAGCTTCAAACCCCAGAAGGCCCCGCAGGGAGACAAGTTTTTACTGGGTAAGATGGGACCGCTAGCTCTGCAGCTCAGATCTCTAGTGCTTCCAGTGTGCGCCACGCTTCCTGGGCTGGAGAAACTGTCCCTCCTGTGGGCTTCTCCGCAGTGAGCAGCGTGACCATAACCCTGTGTGCTTCTGCCCCCGCTGGCTGGGGATTTACCCAAGGTAGTGGTCCAGCCCTGCATGGAAGCTGAAAATCTGAGCACCAGTATGTGCCACAGTGTCTTGTTGGCTGGTGTTTTGCTAGGGTACTCAGAGCACCACTGCAAACTGATGGGGAGCAGAAAGGGGCATGTCCTGGTTTGACAGCAGCAAGTTGTGGCTGCTCTGCGGTCCTTTGGGCCTGTTTGGAGGTCTGCAAGAAGATAGTGAGACCCCAGTGCTGTGTGAGGAGCTGGGGGCTTCTCTGCAGGTCCCAGGGTGTCGTGGAATACCCCAGCACCCTCTGCTGTGACCTGTGGAGGTTGGAGGGCAGACTGCACTAACAGGCAAGTCACGATGCTGCTCTGGCTGTAGGGACAATGATCTCCTTGCTCAGCCCAGCGGGTGCATCTGTGGTTTGGAATGCCAATGCATTGGCTTTTCCTCACCTTGTGTTCAGAGGCCGGGTGCCAAAATCTCAGGCTGTGTATCCTGGGCTCCCTGGCACTGCTCTGACTGGGATCAATCTCTCCCCTACAGGACTGCCCATGGGGGACACCCCCATGGATGGGATGGCGGTGGAGGATTTGGGGCCCATTGTGCTCAGCCTGCTGAAGTCCCCAGAGCAGTACATAGGCCAAGTGATCGGGCTCAGCACTGGCAAGCTCACTGTGGCGGAGTATGCTGCTGCCTTCTCCCAGCAGACAGGCAAGACCGTGGAAGACTCCAAGGTAGGAAGTGTCCCTCGGCGTGTTTGATGCTCTCGAGGTGGAGGGAAGCTGGATCACAGCCCTGCAGCCTGCCTTGAAGGAGGGGCTGGGGCAGTGGGTGGATGATCCCCTGCCTTTTCAGCAGTGGGGTGCTCTGTGTCTGCCGGGCTGCTGCTGGTGGAAGTGGTGGTGGTGTAGGAGCACACTCAGCCTCTCCTGTTGGCGTGGAATGGCGTGGGCTCTGGTTGAGGGTCTGAGCATGGACAGCTGCAGCAAATTGCTGCCCCTGCCCTGGCACAGTTTCAGCTCCTCACCTGTGTCAGCATCAAGAGCTGCTGGGCTGGAGGGCCCTTACAGCCCCCTGTATGGGTTTGTTACAGCCCACTGCTCAGTCCAGGATATGCCCTGCTGTCCGTGTGCCGCTAGGAATGCGTGCTAGGGCTGAAACTGCCCTGTCATTGTGATGACTCATTTGTGGACAGGTTTTGCTTGACTGAGGGATAACAGAGGTGTGAGGTCTCCAGGCGCTGCCCCCGTAGGGTGATTGTTACTGGGGCTGGGCACTTAGAAAAAAGGTATTTGCTTGCCCATCCCTTCAGCACCTCTTAGCCCAAAGCCTCTGTCACGGTGACTCTCAGTGCCTCTTGAGCTTTCTTTTATTTCTTTGTGCTTTGGTTGTGCTGCTGTACTTGAGCAGCTGTTAAAACAGGCAGGTTATGCAGCAGCTTTCTGCTTGGAGGACAGAACACCTCAGATGCTCTTTGTAGATTCTCCTCTCCCTGGGACAGACGAGCAGCCCTTTTGTTCCCAGGCCACCTAAAGGCTTCAGCACAGTGCAGAAACAGTGATTCAGGCAGGGACAGCATGTCCTGTGGGACCAGTTGGCAGCCTGAGGTGCTTGGGCTCTCCCCAGATACCTCAAGCAATGTTTCTAGAGGGGCTCAGCCATGGCCTTGGGGCAGGAAGGAGCTCCTGGTGGCTGCACTGACCCCCAGCCCTGACTGGCTGTGCTGGCACGGAGCAGGTTGGGCTCGGTGATGCTGCCTTGCCGAATGGTTGTGGGTTTGGGAGGCAGCTGGGGAACATGGAAAGTGCCTGAGCATCTGTGCTGCATGATTTCCCCTACACACACCCCTTCTGCCCACAGGGCTGCCGTTTGCTTTATACAAACTTAACTAAATGGACTTGCTGAGCAGCAGATCCCCCCTCTCCAGTGTCAATTAACGCAGTCCTCTTCAGCTTCCCTGCATGGTGTAAGGGAAAGGCCCCAGCAGACTGTGTCTTATGGAGACTGTTTTTGCTCAATTCTCTTTGCAGATCACCCCAGAGGAGTACGAGAAACTTGGCTTCCCTGGAGCGAAGGAGCTGGCTGAAATGTTCCGTTTCTATGCCCTGAAGCCAGACCGCAATGTGGAGCTGACCATGAAACTCAACCCCAAGGCCCGCACCTTCCAGCAGTGGCTGGCAGACAACAAGGCTGCTTTCTGACCTTTTGTTCTCCATAGCAGGATCCTGGCCGTGAGCCATGCAGCTGACTCAGTGCTTGGGGGCTGCCCCATAGGAGCAGCGTGCTGTTGGGGAGGTGGGAAGAGCTGTGCTGCACCTGTAGCCACCCTGCTTGGTGGAGACTGCTTCCAGACAGGTGGGAGAAGCACTACTTTACACACTATCTTCAGGGAGGTGCTCAGTGATTTGGGGTGTTTTCCTGTCTATGGGGTGGTGGCTTAATTTCTCAGGATCACTTTTCCTAGGCAGCTCTAAGCACATTGAGCAACATTGAGTGGTGCACTCAAATGTCAGCAGCTCTATGCCCAGAAAAGCAGTGCCTTCTCTTAGACATTCCAGGTACCCAAAAGCAGCTCTGGTTTCTCCTTGGACCGCGTTCAGGCACCACAGGTGAGCCAGCAGGAATTGCAGCACACTTGCAGAGATGGTGCCCTGTGTTAGCATCACCCTGGCAAAGAGGTGTCCTTAGCCTCGCTGCCAGCACTGAGGGTACTGTGCTGTGTAACCCAGCAGCTGTGCTGCCAGGCTTCTGCCGACAGCCGAATTCCTCAAGCTAGGCAGCTCTCAGCAGCTGCAGCCTGGCCTCTGGACTTCCAGGACCAATTTCAAACACCACCCTCGTTAGCCGAGTAGAACTTCTGCCAGATGGCCCAACCTTCACATTTAAGACTCATTTACAAAGCTTTCCTCACCATCCCCCCAAAGGCATCACTTGGATTAGAGCTCTGGGACATGGCTGTTGTGCTTAAGATCAGCTGCAGCCGTGAGACAGATGCTGTGTTATCTAGCCTTGCCCTCTCAGCCCTGTAACAGCCAAACCAGCAGAGGAAGGAGGTGTGAAGAGTAAACAAGGCAGCAAAGCACGGCGAATGTTAAATATCTTTATCAAGTCCATCTTATTTACATGAATACAGAATCACTTTACAGACAGTTTAATCAGGAGGCAACGCGTGCTTTATTTCAGCAAATTAAGGGCAGGGCTGCGACGTTCTCGTTGAACTGACCGATCAGTTTGTGGGTGATGGTGCCTGCACAGCACAGCAAACAGCAGGCTACACTAACCATGAAAATACTCACTGCAAGAGCTCAACTCCGCCTGGAAGGGGCGATCCACTCCACCTCTGTTCTCACATGTAGCAACAATGACTTTTTGACCAATCATTTATGCTGTGGGTGTTGTGCTAATGTAATAAAATAGTTTGGACAAACTGGCAAAGAGGTCGGTGATTAACTTTCACCCTTTCAGGAGCAACGCTGTCTGCGCTGTGACTTCAGTTAATTGGGGCGGGTGTGGAAGGAAACCTGAGGCAAAGCACGGATTCCATCACTGCAGGAAATGAGCAGGACTAAGAACCCCCAGAGCTGCTGAGGAAGCCAGGGCAGCTGGGCTCTGACAGCCCAGCAAAAGGGAGATTGTGTCAGAAGACACTGTTAGAAGTCACTGATGCACCAAACCTCCTAGGAGAAAACACACGGTGCCAAGCTGACACAGCACATCTAGCGTTCATGAGGGCACCTGAGTGAGCAGCAGCAATCTCAGGCTCCATACAGCAAACTGCTCCGTGCTGGATGGACAATTTTTATTTCACATTTCCACTGCTTTGGATTCTGAACAATTTTTTACTATTATTAACAAATGAACTTCCAGTGGCATCAGGGACAGTGGAGCAGCCTCAAGAAATATCTCCGTTACTGCAGAGCTGGCATTTTCCTTCGTTACCATTTCCTAGGACAGCGGGTTGCTTCTGTATCATGATGGTTGTTGGTGCCTCAGTGGTTTGTGGCCTCTCCAGCTGGGATTCTCAGTGTGCTACTGACTGACATCCTTCACTCCAGTGCCTGCTGCCAGGATTCATCCCCAACTGCTTAGATGATGTGCTGCTGCTGGCTCTCAGTTTCCAGTAGAACGTTTCCCTGCAAGTGAAGCAAGCAAAATGCTAAGGTTTTCCTGAACGCATCAGCCTGAAGTGCACAGCCCCTCCAGACTGTCTTACAGGCACAGGAGTGAGAGCATCTCACACACAAACTGCAGTCACGCTTCATTAGTTACAGCTAAGATGAACTTGGAGCTGACAGTGAGAGGAAGCTGAGCTGAGACCCTGGAATCCAGAACACCAGTCTGCTATGGCTGAAGAGATGTTTTCAAGCCTGCAGAGCTCCCTTACAGCACCCCAACACCAATTAAAGGTAGCTGGGCCCCAAGCTACAACACTGCTTGTTTGTGTGACACGGGCTTTGTTGTGCTTTCCAGGACAGCTGATCCTTCCTGGCAGGTTCTGGTGCTCTCAGTCTCCAGTAGGGGTGAGCCCAGCCTGAGGACCAGCACTGGAAGCACTGCAGGCCCAGCCGTGCCTCCCAGCAAGCTCCTGCATGGCAGCAGCAGTGCCCAGCCCTGGTTCACCAGCTCACCAAAACACCCCCAGTGCATTGAATCAGGCACAGCCCTTCGTGGAAGCAGGGCTGCAGGAGAGGCCAACCACCTGCCTGTGGATGGATCCAGCATTTCCCCTTTGGTGCAGCCATGATGCAGTTTGGTTTCTGGCTTTTCTCTCCTGTCACACAGGACAGCTAGGGCTTCTCACATCAGTGGCTGGAAGGCCTGAGGCTAAGTAAGAAGCAATGCTGTACTTTTGCTTCTTCTACCTCTCAAGAACAGCAAATTCTGCTTAGTGTGGGGGAAAGACGACGACAAAATGTAAGAGCCTTCCTACCTCAGATGGGGTATCAGGAACTAAACATTTTCTTAAGTTTGGAAAGGAATCCCTCCTTGTTCTCCTCAGCCTCAGGCCTGTCAGCACTAGCCGTGGCCCTGCCACCTGGACACAAACAGCAAAGGGCTGCAATCAGAAACATTCCTCAGCCTGCTCCACCTCCCACCAGCAGCCAACACCCCTGACAAAGGGAGAGAGTTATTCCAGACTGGGAATGGTCGAGCCGCCTGGTTTTGCCAGCATGCTCACACTTGGACACCTCTGACCATGAGGGGCCGCCAGCACCTGCCTGGCAGTGAGCAGCAGGACTGGGAGCACTTGCAGTGAAAAGTGCTGCACAGCCTGGAGCCCAGAACTCTGAGAGATGAATGACCCTGGTCCCTGCCCTCTTCCCATCCCTCCAACCAGCAACGGAACTCCTGTGCTGCACATTTAAGTCAGGGGCCGGACAGGCTTTGAACACAAGCGTGGAAGTAGTGAGAGTCTGTCACTGAAAGCAAGCTGGTGACTTCACTACAGATGGACGTCGCCTGACGGAACAAAGACCTGCATGGCAGCCCCCGAAATGGCCTGTGTCCCCACGCTTCACTGCCTGTGCCATCACTGCTGCAAAGCAGTGTGAAACCACAGCAGGAGCCTGTCACAAGCCATTCTCGTGCCTCAAGGAGAAACTGAACTCAGGCTAAAATGAAGAAGGCTACAGGTATTTCAGAACATATGTCTGCATAAGGAATCTAACTGGCAGCAGCCAGCAAGTCCTTCTTATTTAGAAAGAGTCCTGAGAAGTGGCCACAGCAAGAAAAAAACACCAAAACCCAACATTATTTGCCACTCTGATTTATCTACAGTTTGTCAATAACAAAAAACCCAGATCTTCCTCAAGCTTTCTCTGCGCAGAGGACACAAAGCCCAGCCCTCCCCATCCTCCCCCAGCTGCCTCTCGAGCTCACGCTGATGCAATGCTGTGAAATGCTCAGGCCTGTGGCACAACGTGCCTCCATCTGCTCAGGGCACTTTCTGCCTCCCTGAACAAGGATAAGTGTTCAGCAGCAGCCTGTCCCTAAACTGCAAACTACTGGCACTGCTTTTAATCCAACTTGTTGCTTAACTGTGTTTAACAGATCTCTGCCCTTCCTCTCAAGATTGATCTCTAATGTTTACTTGCAGTGGAAAAAACAACCCCATTAAGTTCTGTGCTATCAAAGCACTATAAAAGATTGGGAAGTGTAGCTCATTGCACCTTCCAATATCCTGAACTTCAGCCTACATCCTCAGGTTTTGGCATGTGATGCTGAGAAGACCTGAGTTTCCAGGATCCAGGCAGCTTTCACGGCCTCCTTTGCCTAGCAGCACACAGTCATAAATGCCCATTTTGGTTTCATACAAGAACAAACCACAGTCTATAAGGCATTAAAAAGCTCACTGTTCCAGTATGAGCAAAGAAAACATTGGTTTGTTAGCAGAAAAGATCAAACCTTGCCTTTCCTGACTGTTCAACATATATTTTGTCTTTAGTTGCTGTAAGGAAACTGCAAGGCAACAGCTTGAACTGGTGATTGAGCACCTGGTGAAGGGGTGTAGCTGGCCCAGGGAGCACAGGAATTGTTTGCACCTGTGCTTCCTATGTGACCAGAAGGGGGCCAAGGTAGGGCAGATCCCTCCAGGGCTCATAGAAGGGCCAGCCACTAAAGGAAGAGCATCCCCTGGACCTTGGCTGCTTCCTGAAGAGTGCTGTGTAACCAGGGAGCTCCTTGATCAGCTGGGTGAGCTCAACTCTTCTTTCTGTATGTGATTATTAGTCTACCTGCAGATACTTAGCCTGATATTGCCAAGAACGTGTCAGAAGTGACTTTGCTTCTCTGTGAGCAGAACAGCTGCTACTGATGCCAGATGGGTTTCAGTGGAGACCTACTGAGTTGAGACACAATTGCTGGATCCAGCTTTTTAATCTGGAGCCAAAAATGCAGCCTTACAAAGCTCTCAGCTAACTGCATGATCTCTACCTGCTTGGTGCTGCCTGCTGACTACAGCCAACATCAGCACCAATGAACATTTCTATCCAAGGCTTCCCCACGTGCACAGAGTGTGGCTCAGAGCAACCTTGACAGCAATGTTCCCCTTCAGCTTTCAAGGAGAAACATCCCACTGCAGGCAGAAGCAAGCACTGAGAAGAACTGATTCTCTTATGCAGAGAGCTGGCCTGAAGCACATTCCCTTCTCCTCCTCTGCAGTGAAGAAGTTACCACTGGCACAGGGGTGAGAGCAGGCAGTAGAAGGCGTCCATCACTGTAGTGAGACTCACCAGATCTTGTTGGGACCCTGCAGTATTTCAATACCTACTCCTCGGTCACAAAGACTCTGCCCAGTGAATAGCAGAGTAATGCTTCCTGGGAAGAGGGTGCTTCTTTGTTTTATGCTGCAGCCTATCAGCATCACACTGGAATGATTTCTAAAATAACGTGCTTGGCAGCTTGTGCTGCCAACACCGCCTGAACGCCACCTCAGCTCACCTTCCTGGGCCTGAGCCCTCAGGAGGCACTGAGCAAACCAACACCAGCTCCATGGGGAAGGGACGCTCATTCCCACAGCTCACCTGATGCTGTGTTTGTGACTCCATTCACTGTGCCATCCACGTCTGTCTCATCCTCAGCATAGCTCATCATTAAGGCTCTCTGGCGATCCGTCAGCCTCCTGCAGGTCAAAGACAGAAGCACTGGTAATGGCTGCCTTTGGAGACAAACGTATCTGCACGTTTCCTTAGGCTCCTCTGGCAGCAAGCACAGGAGGCAGCTACTGGCAGTAGAGACGAACACTCTTGGCATTCACTGAGAATCCCTATGGTGCTCTCATGTGAGCAATCTATAAATCAGCCCAGTGGGATGGATGTGACCCACTACTTTTCACCAAAAAACCCAAAATCTCTTGAAGTGCTGAGAGGAACTGCGTGGAGCTGCAATGGAACATCTTAGGGCAGAGCTCAGGGAATCCATTCCTTGGCTGACTAGCACAACGTAAGCTGAAGAGTTTGCTTTGCTACACAAGCAGAGGGCAGTCGGTGTCAGGCAACAACCTTCTGAGGACTTGTAAGCTATGGTTTTAAGAGCACAGACGTGTCAGAAGCCAGAACGCTGATCTACGTCACTGGGATCCTGACAGAAGTTGGCAGTTCTCCATGAACACCATGAACACCAATACCATGCAGGTATGGGGCTACCTACGTATTTCTGGGGTTTAGGATTGCTTACAGCTGGGTTGCCAAATTACAATTACAAAAGAGAATGTTTCACGTTAGAATAAAAAGCAGAGAAGTTAAGGTAACTGTCCAAGGAAGACTCAAAACAGATCTTGATAAAGCAGTGAGAAATCCTCATAAAATCTTCCCGAGCCCAATTTCTTGCAAACAGCTGAAGACTTCACAGAAACTTGCATTACTTACTGAGGAACTTTGATCTTTATGTGAATGTAGTGGTCTCCGTAGCCATAACTGTTAACCTTGGGGATGCCTTTCCCACTCATTCGAATTCTCTGGTCTGGCTGAATACCAGGGGGAATCTGTGAACAGAGGTGCCACATTCATTACTCCACTGTATGCATGTATATAGTTATTACATGTTTATCATAATTAACTATTTCTCTAGCAAGATTCAAAATAAGATGGCAGACCTGGTACATCAGTGGCGAATTTCCATCAGTACTGATGGAAAAGCTTTTTCAGGACAGAGTAAAAGAACCCAGCACAGTTTAGAAGGTATTAGATGGGATTTGTCCAGCAATCCATCCAGCCCCTCCTTCCCTACAGCGAGCTGTAAAGGTGTGACCAAAGCAGGTCACAAACTACCTGACACTCAATCCTTAACAAGTCTGAAAGCTGATCTTGATAGACTCAGATTTACAGCATCTTTACAGAAAAGGAAAAGGCTCTGATGCCCCACACTGATTGATGGCAGAGCTCTTCCACGCTACTTACTGTGATATTGATCGTCTCGTACAAGCCTTGGCATCTGGCTGTCCCTCCCAGAACAGCCTGTGCTACTGAAATAAGGAGGTCAGAGTGGATATCTGCTCCATTTCTTCTGAACACTGAACTTTTTTGAACCTAAAAGGCAGGTAATTCCACAACACAGTGAGCAGAACAACACAAAGGTAACAAGGTAAACTGCTTTGAAAGATCTCAGCAGAAAACATACCAGAAAGCAGCAGTCATATTCTTAACATCCATGGTCATGACTAAGAAGTTTAGCTTAATGTTCAGTCTTTTGTAAAAACACAGATCATTACATAACTCTAATTAGCCAGAGATTTGGGAGTATGTCTGCTTGTCTCTGCAACTCCCCCACTAATCCTGTTTGTTAGTTCATTACAGTCAGTGCCATTCTGCAGACACAAAGATGACACTGTCTTGTCCAGGACCCTGAAAAAGGGAAAGCCAGAGAAGGAAGGCAAGAACTTCTGTAGTAGCTTCACAAGCTGGAAGAGAATTAAATTCTACTGCACCACGAAGGTGATGGAAAAAGTTCTCATAGACAGAGGTGCATATAACAGGGCACCTGCAGGAGAAGAGGGCCCCAGCTACAACGAGTGTGCAAAGCAGCACTTAATGCAAATCTGCAAAAGGACAATTGACCCCCCAGCCTCCTGCGTGCACTCCTGCAGCCCTGCTGGGCACTGCAAGCTGAAAGCTCCTTCAGATCTCCACATCGAAATCTCACAGCACTGAGAACCTGCTCTGTATTTGGATGCACACGACCATGAAGGCCTCATCCTGGAACAAGCAGCACAGCTCCTGAGCAGCAGAATGAACATTACAATGCACATCTTCTGCAAGCTCACATGGATCACATTACCTCAGCTGTTTCAAAGGATCACTTGCTTTCTCCTGCCAGACTTCCCTCACAGTTGTGAAGGGAATAAAATACAGCATTAGTAACAATACGCACCCGGAAGGTGATGAAAATTTCCTTCCTGCCTACAGGCATCCGAACTGTCTGCCCATCCTCAACACCTGCAAGCAGGAAGAGGGGAGAGAGAGGAAAGTTATTTCGTGTTGTAACCCACGTGCTACTGCAATTCCTGCAGCTTTTCTGCTCAGACCCCCTGCCATCCCACCTCAGCAGCACCTGAGGAGCAGAGGCACAAGACTGCCAGCAGAAAGCACAGCAAGCCCCAGTCTGGGAGGTGCAGCAGCACACGGCTGTGCCTCAGATTGCTGCTGCCAAGCAGAGGGGCGCCCCTTCCCAGCTTCATAACCTCAAGCCCTACAGAATTCTTCTAGGAAATGCATCAGACTGAGGCATACTGGGCAGCCTCTGCAAGCTACTGGAGAGCTCCATGCTGCTGCTCAGGGCAGTCCCAAGGCATCAAGCCTTCAGTCCCACTGCTCCTTTTTCTTTTTTTTCCTTCCGCTGACAAAAGCAAACAGCAAACTTTTCTGAGCTAAGCGAAGGCTTTCAAGATTCCCATCCCCACTAATTTCATCCAGAACAAAGGGAAATGCAAGTTGACCAAATCTTTTGAAAGTTTCACTCTTCAAAACTTGTCTAGAAGGATCCATACAGGAACCAGAACTTCAGCTCCAAAAGGGGCAAACATTTTTATCTACCACGTACGAATGCACGGTCAGAAAGTTTCTCATCATGAACACTTTCAATGACCAAGCTATCAGTCTGCTTTGTTCTTAAGATAACTTCCCCAAAGCAAAACATCTTTATATTGCTTTGACACCCGCAGCTGGCAGAGAAAGCCACACTTTACAGGTAAGTGCCTCACAGCCTCGTGGAAAGAACTGTGTTCAGCGTAACAGACAGCAGCACACCAACCCAACACTGACCAGCTGGCACAGGAACTATCACTGTCTTCCTCTGTTTGGTTTGCCCTGTCCCTCGGCACACCACGCACGGAGTTGTGATGATGGAAGCACGACCTCCACATCTTCGGCACGTAGAGCGCATTACAAAAGGGCCTGTGTTTATTGTTTCCTAGGGAAGAAAACAGGTCACAAATGATCATACAGATATTTGCTACCAAGATGGTACTTCTCACTTCCACACCAGCGACTGGGCAAGCATATCTGGGCTCTGCTGATAGCACAAACCTGATAGGGCAGTTCAGTGATAGCACTGTAGGGATGGAGAAGGTAAGTGGCTCAGAAATCCAAAGATACTTGTCAGAAGCTGGGTCAGATTCAGTTGTCATATCAGAATCATATCTGGTTTCCACTGAAAACCATCACAACTATGAGCAAGCATGTCATGGCCAGGTGAAGTGAGGCAACATTCACCTCTAGGGTTTGAGGCAGAAGCAAGAATGAAGCTCCTTGCAGTGCAGATTCACAAGGCAGTACAAACATCTGTATTCCAAAGAGCCTGAGGGCAATTCACTTTCATGAATTATTACCTCTGTATGGTAACTGAGCCAGGGCCACTGATTGAGCACCTGGGGAAAGGACCAGTCAGCCCAGGGAGCACAGGTGAAGGCAATTCAGCTGCGTGATGGGAAGGGCTGGAGCCTGGCTGCACCTCTCTTAGACCTTATTTAAAAGCTGACTGCCTCTGAGGAAGGATCTCTTTATGGAGAGCCCTCCTTGGTGGAGTTTTCCCCTGTGAACTTGGAGTCTTCTGATACAGGTAAGCCATTTTCTTCCCTTCCCTTATAGCACCTCTTTGTTGTGCTGATCCATTGGTCATTACATCTCTGGTGAAACACCTCTTCCTATCATGCTGATCTGTCCGATTGCCACAGCCACCATCCAGGAAAAAGTTATGGAGGCTAAGCTATGGACCCAACTCTGAAAGGCAGCCCTCAGGCTGAAACACAGGAGGAGACAGTGGGAAAAGCCTGCCTCCCACTCTGAGCAGCCACACCCTCTCTGTGCAGGAACCTACTCTGGTCACAGACTGACTGCCAGTTCCCGCTGTGAAGCACAGAAATCTGAAGGCTGAAGCTCAGTTATTTCTTCACTTACTCTAAGCAGCAAACGACTTCTCATTCAGTGGTTACCCTAGAACTATCCTTGCTTTCCTCTCTCCTCGCCCCCTCAATTCAAAGTATTCTATTTAAGCCCTAAGTAGTTTCAGAATTGTTACATCACATAAATATGGCTGGCTGGACGCAGTGCCAGATGACCTGGTCCTGCTTTTAGCTTGCCAGCACACTTTTAAAATAAATATCCCCAGTGAAGATGACATCGAGTCCACGTTAGCCTGGCTTCACCCAAGATAAGCTGATGATGTTAATGAGGAACTGTGGAAGGGAGTGACGTGCCAAGAAAAGCATAGCAGAAGCTGTCTCTTAAGACTCACCATGCCAGTGCCATTGCAGTAGTGGCAGCGCTGCACTTTGGTGCCAGGTTCGTTTCCTTTCCCGTTGCACCGCTCACAGGCATCGTTGATGTTCACCACGATCTCCTTGTTCACGCCTTTTGCTGCTTGTGTGAACGTCAGCTCCATGATGTACTGTACAGGAAACACTGCCATCAGCCCTCAGCCGATGTGTGATGGGATCTTAAGCAAAGCAGAATTGGTTTTGGCCAAATATCAGTGCTTAAATTATATCCACGTAATGGAAGGGAGAAGAAACAGGTGGGTGCACAACATGTGCAGAAGTGCTCTGCCTCGTTCTGGGAAGAAAGAGTCTGTTCCATATGAATAAGAAGGGACACAAAAGGGTGGCAAACGTTACAGCAGTGATGATTATACCAGTTTTGTAGAAGGAATGGCTTAATAGAGAAGAGGAAAGCAGAAGTTGTGTTTTTCTGTTCTTAGAAAAGGCCTTTAATACGTCCAAGCATTTTATTTAAAGGGAATACAGCAATGGGGACAGATAGAGGCTTTCAATCCTAATGAAAGCATCTGCTCTCCCTCAATGAGCTCCTTACTCAGCAAAGAAAGTCATCAGCAAAGACGACTCCACAACAGGAATTTCTGTTTATCATAGAAAAGTCATTTCTAGTCAAGACAGAAGTACTGAATACCAAGCATTTCTGAAGGCATTACCTGAATCAAGGTTGTCAGTGCTTAAATAGCATTTAGCCGCAGTACAAAGAACAAGAAATAGGTTTTAAAATGAGCTCTGCTGCAGTTAAGCCAATTAAGTTGAAGAATTCAGCCAATTAAGCAGTCAAATCCAATGCTGGAAGGCTCGTTTTATAGTTTAAAGGCATTCTGTGGTTTTCAGCATTGCATTACAAAGCAGACATGTAAAACAAATCAGAGCAGGAAAGATGCCTTACAATGATAGAAACTGTTTGGCAGCACTGATCGGTGTGAATAAACACCAGATGAAGCCCACAAAAAAATACCGGTGTGGAGAATGCATCCCATGGCTTACCAAAAACACTCCCACCCTTACAACAGGACGCTCACATGCTGACCACCTCAGAAGCAAACTCTTTGCTGAAGCTCACTCTGTGACAGCCCAGTGTCACACTCCAGCTTTTGTGGTTTTCATTTTGCACCGTCAGGAAATGCACCCGTTTCGTACCTCCTGCGGCTGGTCGAAGACATTCTGAAAGTCACCAAAGGAGGATCCTGAAAACTCTCCAAAGATTTTCCTGAAGAGTTCCTCGGGATCAATCGATGGACCGCTGCTCCAGTACTGGCGCCCAGCACCAGCACCTGCTGCACCAGGATCAAAACTGGCTGTCCCGTAAGCATCGTACTGCTTCCGCTTCACTTCGTCACTCAGCACCTTTAGGCAAAAGAACGATGCCATCAGGACACTCCTCAGATCCCAGGCAACCCAGAGAGCCCTGCACACTGCCTGGGACAGAGGCAGCCCCAGGGGAGCTCCAAGCTGTCCGCATTACCAACGCTACGATGCTCAAACCTTTGTGTCATTAGGAAGAGCCTGGACCAGATCCAGGCTGGATGTGGCTCTGGGCAGCCTGGTCTGGTGGTTGGCGACCCTGCTCATGGCAGGGGGGATGAAACTAGATTATTTTTGAAGTCCTTTTCAACCCAGGCCATTCTGTGATTCTATGAAGAGCATTCCACTCTTGTAAGCAGATGAGTTAATGAAAAGCCCCTTCTTCTGTGCTATCTTGTCATCAGGAAAATGGCAAACTCTTACCAGTTTGTGATAAGCAAGGATAACTTACTTTACATATGTGATCATTCGTGTATTTCTTAGAAGCTGGTGCTAAGAATGCTTGGGTGAATTTGGAAGCCCATGAGAGGCACAGCCAGCACAAAGCAAGGCAAAGAGCACAGTGCAATGGACCCTCCTCAAAGAGCCACTACCTGCTGACTGTTCTGTTTCTTTGCTCATTTAAGATGTAATTCCACTGCAGTGACCATCTTTCCTTTCTATGCCAATCACTCACTGCTAAGAGCAAGAAAAAATGGAAGGAGCTGAAAGCATGTTTAGCTACACTGGAAATGTGGGGGAGATCATTTGCTGGAGAGATGAGTGGGGCAGAGCTGCTGAAGTGTAAAATGGAACACGTTGACACTGTGCATGCAAACACAAGCAAGAGGAGGAAATATCTCCCCCCATCTAATCCAAGTGCCGCTCCAACCTTCTCTCCTTGTCACGATAGCAAAATGCTGCACGTTACCTCGTAGGCTTCTGCCAGCTGTGCAAACTTCTCCTTAGCTTTAGGGTCGTCCTTGTTTGTGTCAGGATGGTATTTCTTTGCCAGCTGAAAGGAGAAAAAAGAAGCATTAGAGACGGGATCAATTTCGTTTAGCGCACGCGGGGCAAAGCCCAGCACTCGGCATCCCGGCAAGGCTGCCGTCATTGCGCAGCGCTGCGGGGCTGCAGCCGCCGTGCCGTGCCTGGTAGTACGCCTTCTTGATCTCCTTCTGAGTGGCGGAGCGCGGCACTCCCAGCACCTGGTAGTAGTCCTCCTTGCTACGGGCCGCGCTGCTGTGGAAGGAGGCGGCGGGAAGGCGCTTCGTCCCTGCGGGAGAACAGAACGGAGCAGAGCGGAGGGGCCGTGAGGCAGCCCGTACCACCGGCACCGCGGCCCGGCGTCTCCTCCCCGCTCACCCGCGTGCTGAGGCCCGGCGCCCGGCTGAAGGAGGCGGCGGGCGGCGGGGCCGGGCGCGGCGCCCAGCCCTCGGACGATCCAGACCAGCAGCAGCCGCCCGTCCCTCGGCCCGCGGCTCCTGACGGCGGCGGCGGCGGCGGCGGCCCCGAGCCAGCGCGAGGCGCTCCCGGCCGCCATCTTGGCCCGCGCGCGGCTCTGCGCCTGCGCCACGTCGGGCCGGGCTGCGCGTGCGCGAGGAGGGAGAGCGTGCGCGGGAGCGGCCGGCGGGCGAGCGGTGCTGCGCGTGCGCGGAGCGCTGTTAGCCGGGGCGGGAACGCGTGAGGAGGGCGCGGAGGTGCGAGGGGGCGGCAGGCGGGCGAAGTTGCGCTCCTACCCGCTCCTTCTCCTCCTCCTCCTCCTCCTCCTCGGCGGCCGCTCCGTGGTTAGCGCCAAACGCCGCCGCGCTGCCGGTTCCCTCTCCGCCCGCGTTAGCGGCTGCGCTTTCGCAGAGGTACGGGCTCCGACCGCGGGGTGCCCTGCGAGACGAGGCCCCGCGTGGGCCCGGTCGTGCGGTTGAGAGAGGACGGGCAGATGGCGGCCGCGCGGCTCCCTTCAGCCCAGCGCGTTCCGTGATTCCTGAGGAGGGCGCCGTCCTCACTGCGCTCCTTCGGCCACCCGGCTCAGGGCCGTGCCGGTTTCGTGCCTCGATACTAACGGAGCTCCGCGCTGCGCCGTGCGGGTGCGGCTCCTTTAAGCGCCGTGCGGGAACCGGGCTGCGGGACGGGACGGGAACGGGCGGGTGACACGGCGGGTGCGGGGCTCCGCTTCCCTGACAGCCGCACGCGGCGGCTCTGCTCGCTGCTGGGGGCGGAGCGGCGGCCTGCCGACATCGCGCTGTGTGGAGCAGCTCTGCCAGAACGGGAACCCGCCGTGCGCCGAGCCGAGCCGCGGGGCGGGGCCTGGCGGGGCAGGGCTGAGGGCGGCGCGGCGCGGCGGTCCCGGCGCACCATGAACCGCTTCAGGGCGTCCAAGTTCCGGCACACCGAGGCCCGGCTGCCCCGCAGGGAGGTGAGCGCGGCGGGCACCCCCCGCCGGCCCGTGCCGGGGGACGCGGGGGCGAGCCGGGGCTGTTCTAACGGGGCGGGACCGTGCGCGGCCGTGCTCGGTACCCGCGGCTCCGGGGCTGCCCGGGCGCTCCGTGTGCTCCGTGTGCCGTCTCCCGGGGCAGGCGGCATCCCCTAAGCGATTCCTCCTCTGCAGCCACGAGATGCCCAGCCGGGCTCCCGGCCGCGGGCGCTTCCTGCCCATCGCAGGCTCCCCGGTGCTTCTTCCCCACCCCGCGACCCAGGCGGAGGCGAGGCGTGCCGCCCACCTGGTGCGTGCCGCTTGCCGTGCGTGTGCTTCCCGGCTGGCAGCAGTAAGGCTGTGCCCAACCTGCCCGGGCAATGTGTGTATCAGGCAGGGAAGTGTGCAATACTGGGCGCTAAGCACCGCGCCCTGCCCGTGCCACCCCGCTTCCGCAGGCAGAGAGGAAGCACTGCAGGCTGGGGCCGGGTCCCAGCACCCACGAAGTCAGTGATAGTGTATCCTCTCAGCGTATGGTGTGCAGCCACATGGTGCCCGGCGCTGGGCTCTGCAAGGCCTCTGCCCCGTGATGAAATTGGACAACCAGCCCTGTTGAGTGGCGTGGCCCATCCTGGCTGCAGGGCCCACTCTGCCCTTGTCCCTGCATCCCCATCCCCTGCACGCTCAGAAGGGAAGGGGAGGAGATGCTCACTCAGGGATGGGCTGTGCTGAGTGTCGCTGAGCACTGCTGGCGTGTGCAGCTTGTCCTGGGCACCTGGAGCCAGCAGGCTGGTGGCATGGTGCAAGCCACTCTGCTTATGCTTTGTGCTTTGGCAACAGATGGGTGCAGAATGTGGTGTAGACTATATGACCAGAAGTGGGGAGGGTGATACTGCTGAAAGTCTTTTGGTTTTGTTGTTTTTGGCCACCAACATGTTCAGCTCATGGCATTTTGGCTTCAGCACTCGCATTCCCTTTAACTTCCCATTCGAACCATCCTTGTGCAAGGCTGGCCTGTCCTACAAGAAGGATCATGGTGATATCTGCACCAAATCAGGGAGCACATGCAGGCATCAGGACTGTCATAGCTCCAAAGGGCCCGGGGGTCTGGCATTGGGAGTTTACAGCATCCTGCAGGCAGGCACATCCCTGACACTGTGCTGTCGACTCCAGCGCTGGGGTGCTCTGCAAGACGTTGAGGACTGGGTGCAGAGAGTCATTTGCTGTGTATGTATACGTGGGCTGTGTATGAAGGAGCCTTCTGAATGGCATTTCCCATCCGGGAGCTGGGAGCCGTGACCCCGCTCCATGGGGCAGAAGGCTCAGGTGTCGTTGCATCCCTGCAGAGCAGAGCTGCTTGTTTACTGAGGCAAAGACGGACACTTGACCTGACTGGATGGGAAAGTGTGATGTGACATCAGTTGCAGCTGGTTGCTTCTCCCCTCTGGCAGTGTGTTCTTGTGACATTTCTAGGCATTTTGTGGCTGGGGACAGCTGACTGACCCTCCCAGTCTGAGGACAGGAGCCTCCCCTTGGCATAGAAAGGGTTAACAGGCCTGCCACCATGCTGTGAGCTGTGACAAGGACCAGAGGAAGTGCTGCAGGAACTGCTGCTCTGTCGGGCCCCAAGAGGAAGCTGTGCAAGGAGAGGAAGCTCAGGTCTCATCTGAGGCCATGCAGCTCCTATCCTGCAAATGGCTTTGCACAGCTGCAGGACTTGTTGTAGGCTTCTGTTGCAGCCATGGGGACACTTGCATGATGCCCAGCGTCAGGTTTGTGCAGAGTTGGATTTGGCACTTGGACATGGAGCTGTGATTGTATTTGGTGTCACAAGGCTTCTCAGCACCCTGCAGATGCTGGAAAACGAGTAGCAGAGTGAGATTTCGGCTCAGGAGCTGTGGGGAAGTCCTTTGGCTGTGTCCCCACATAGGATATGTGCTGCCGAAGGGGTTTATCTGCCATTGCCAGTGCCTCACTCAGCATAGCCCAAGAGACCTTTTCAACATCCCTAACTCCCCACCACTGGTTTATGCAAAAACCCCTTCCCACCACAGGACAGTTGAGGCCCGGGATGGGTTCACGGAGGGGCAGCACTCAGAGTGGGGCTGCTTGCTCCCATCCCTGTCTCTGCGGAGTGGTGGCAACGCTGTCCCTAACCTCCAGCTGGCCCCAAACCCCAGCCCATAGAGGGGTCATGACTGTGCCTGTAGGGCACAAACGGCTGCGCTGTTCCATCCCTCCTGCAGGGCAGAACCTCGTGGCCGTGCCTCCAGCAGCCTCCAGGTCTTGCTGTGTAACTCATTGAAGGGGCTCTGTTGGCACTGATGCTGTCCATGATGCGGTGTCACCACTTTGTGCTCTCCTCTCCAGCCCTCCACACACCGCCCCCCCGAAGCAGTGCCGTCTCTTAACACAGGTTTCTCTCTCCATCCCAGGCTTGGATCGGGGGTCTCCGAGCCAGCTCTGTTGCATCCTATGGGAACCATGTGAAGGCCAGCTGCCACTGGGTCGCCTTCAGTGCTGAGGCAGCAGGTGAGGTGCCTGGGGGTGGTGTAATTTTGCCCTCAGAGCTGGGTGCCAGGCCAGCTGCATGGGGCACAAGAGACCCATGTGGCTGGAGCTGGTTCTTTCTGAAGTCCCCTGAAGGTGCTGTCCACCCCACAGTGTCCTCATTTTTCTTGAATTGCAAGTGTCCCAAATTGTGGGGGCTTCCTGGGAGCTCTGATAGGTGATGTCCAGGCTGTCGGGCAAGCAGTGAGCTGCTGCTGTGTTCTCTGCAGGTGTGCTGGGCATTGTGCTGCTGGAGGGCAGGGATGGAGGCAAGAGGACCGTGTCTCAGCTCTGCTGCCACTCAGGTAAGCTGGGCAAGGCTGGGTTTCTACAGAGGAAAGAAATCAATCCCAGTCCCTACAAAGAACAGTCTTGAGTTCTTGGGGAGCTTCTCTTAGCACACCCTCACCGTGTTACTCATTGCACAAAATGTCAGTGGGGCAGACTAGGGTAAAAAGCACTCTGGGAGCATAATTCTAATCCTTAACTTAAACCAAGCACCCTGCACAAAGGCACCTGGAGCAGACCTGTGAAGCAGCAGCTGCCAAGCAGCCCCAAGGCAGAGTGTGGCTGCCTATACTGAGCTGTGATTGCAGCAGGGTGTACCTGGGGATGAGGGGAGAAGGATGGTCTGGTGGCAGCATTGCTGCTGGCAGCGCAGTGTGTGCCACAGAGGCAGAAGGCATCTGGGGATGGGGAGTCTGGGCACCCTTCTCCTGGGGTCTGGAGTGCAGTGCACCCATTTCTCCAAAACTGCAACAGAGGGACAAGGTGGGAGCAGGCTGCTGAGCCAGTCCCAGCACAGCCTTTGTGCACGCAGTGCTTTGGCATGGCTGCAGGAGCACACAGTGTGCCCGAGCTGTGCTGTTTCCACCATATCTCAGACTGTGCATGGCAGCCCCTTTAGTCACTCAGCCGGGGTGCAGCAGATGGGAGCTGCATCCTGCTGGCAAACGGATGGAAAGTCTCCCTTTGTAAGTGAGGTGAGCCAAGGCAGGGAGATTAGCCAGACACTGAGGCCCTCTCTGTGCTGCCTCCTGCTGCAGGAGAGCCGGAGGCTTCGAGCTGTGCCCTGTCACCATCGCAGCCATTAAACTGCCACTTAAACAAGGAAGCCTGAAGCTTCCCAGCTACCCTGGGCTATGGTTCAGGCCACGTCCCTCCTGGGACTCAGCCCATCACCTCTGGGCTCGTTGCCCTCCTGAAGCTGTTTGCCCAGCTCCATCTCTGCCCTGTCTGGCGGGTGTCCCTGTGCCACCAAGCTGCCCGTGCTCCCAGAGAAGCGCTCCAGGGGCCAGTGGAGCCACGCAGCCCTTAATGGGATTTCAGCAGAAGCCCTTTGAAGCTGATGATGCCTGGGAAACGCCTCCCTTCTGCATTCAAAGCAGAGAAGGGATTTTCTTCTCCTCCCAGGGCAAACATAACAGATAAGTCAGGAGCCAGAGTACATCCCTTTCATTTTGTGCCTTCGGGGCCTGCATCTCAGCAGCCTCGTGGAAGCGGAAAAGTACACAGTGACCTACTTTCACCCGTGTGCTGAACGCGTTGGAGGGGCTGCAGAGCGCGGTGCCAGCACTGCTCCTGTGGGGCTCTGCTGAGCCGCACAGGGCTGGGACAAAGGAGCCTTGTTTGCTGGGTGCATGGGGCTGATGCGGGCGCCCTCGCACCGTTGGCACTTCTACCACCCTGCACTGCTGGGGGCTTGGCGTGGGGGTGCCTGCTGTGAAATGAAAGCTGTTTTAAATAGAGAAATGCAGCTGCGGGTTGCTTGGTGTGCTCTGCCTATGGGGACAGAGGAGTGTGAGGCCCTGAGGGTCAGCGTGGGGGGGTCACAGCAAAGCATGCTGCCCTGAAATGCCTCTGCCCCGGCTGTCTGCATGCACGTGGGAAGGGCCCAAAGTTGTCTGCATGTGACCTGGGGATGAGTCTCTTCTCCTCACCTTCCAGATGCAGTGACAGACTTTGACTTCTCACCCTTTGACCCGCTCCTGCTGGCCACGGGCTCTGCTGATGAAACGGTGAGTGCTAGGTGCAGCGCCATGTGGCTTTCCCCAGCCTGTCCCTGGGCCTTGCTGCAGGGTGGGGCGAGATGGGTTCAGATGGGATGGGCCTCCAGGGTCTGACCGTGTTTTCTGGTGTCGCAGGTGAAGGTTTGGCGCCTGCCTGAGGAAGGGCAGGAGCTGCCCAGCAGTGCAGGGCTGACGCTGGGTCCTGGCGGGGGCCCAGTGGACATGCTGCAGTTCCACCCAACGGCAGATGGCATCCTGACCAGTGG